AGAAGCTTCTTCAGTTCTTCTGTTCAGTTTGTCAGAACTGAAGAAGTTTCTTGGACGTGAAGCAAAACGTTTTCCAGGGGGGAAAAAAAAAATCAAGTCCAGTTACCTTTTGGAAAAGCATCCTTGGGATGATTTGTTGAATTGTAATAAACTTGAGAAGCATCCCTAAGCTGGGTTTTAAATAAAACTTACACTGATTACATTATACAGTATATATTAATTCAGTACTAGTACTTTTCAATATTAGGGGAATAAAAATGGATCATAGGTGACAGAAAATTCTCTCTCTCTCTCTCTCTCTCTCTCTCTCTCTCTCTCTCTCTCTCTCTCTCTCTCTCTCCTCCCTTCCTCTCTCCCTCCCTCTCTCTCTCTTTCTCACTCTCTCTCCTATTCTGTTTCAATCTTTGCCCTTCAAAAGCTGGCTGAAGTGGGTTTTAAATGCGATGCTACTTAAAGTGAGAAGAGATTTTATTGCTCTCTGAGATTAAGTTTCATCCCTTTCTCCACCTCTGAACTTAAAACCTTGGCTTTTTAGAAAAAAAGAAAATAAGAAGATTAAAGGTAAATGGATCAATGGCACATTTCTGACCTGTGGAGGCCAAATGTGTGGATGGTGGTTACATATTGATTGGCTAATGTTTGCAAACCGTGTTCAGATTCCAAAACTAGCAGGGAACCAGGTTAATACCCTGAGTGAAAAAACTCAGCTCTGGAGTCATTCCAGCAGTGCTTATTTATTTTTTTCTTATTTCATTGTTCCACAGTTTGGGGAGATTAAAAGCAACCAACACCTATCAGCGGTTTTGCTTTTAATAAGAAAAAAAAGGGGGAAATGAGATTTTTTCATTCTTGTCCTTTGTTGGTTTCTATAGGTTTTCATAACTTGACCATTTAGAATCAAATGTGACAGTCATCTCTTTCAAAGAAGTAGTTGCCTTCCAGAAGAACAGAAGAATCCAGCCCTTATTCATAGGTGGGTTGGCCCGTTCGTGAAAACTCGGACAAAACAAGCATCTTTGTGAATAGGTGCCTGCCTGCCTGCCTGCCTGCCTGTCTGTCTGCCTGCCTGCCTGTCCATTTGTCTACCTGTCTATCTATCTGTCTGTCTATCTGCCTACCTGCCTGCCTGTCTGTCTGCCTATCTGTCTCTCTGTCTGTGTCTGTCTGTCTGTCTACCTATCTGTCTATCTGTTTACCTGTCTACCTACCTGTCTACCTGTCTGTCTGTCTGCCTATCTGTCTGTCTGTCTATCTGTCTACCTGTCTTACCAGTCTGTCTGTCTGTCTGTCTATCTGCCTGCCTGCCTAACTGCCTGTCTGTCTGCCTGCCTGCCTATCTGTCTGTCTGCCTGCCTACCCATCTGTCTATTTGTCTACCTGTCTACCTACCTGTCTACCTACCTGTCTACTTGTCTGTCTGCCTACCTGTCTGTCTATCTGTCTACCTGTCTATCTGTCTGCCTGCCTGCCTATCTATCTATCTATCTATCTATCTATCTATCTATCTATCTATCTATCTATCTATCTATCTATCTATCTATCTATCATCCAGCTATCCACCTATTTTATATTCTGCCTTTATTATTTTTTATAAACTACTGTTGGCCACGAACATATCTAATACTCCTTCTTCCTACTATTTCCCCCACAACTACTACAGCCCTGTGAGGTGAGCTGGGCTGAGATAGAGTGACTGGCCTAGGCTCACCCAGCTAAGGTCAGACTAGACCTCAAGGGCTCCTGGTTTCTAGCCTTAACCACTTAGCAGTTTACCACAAAATAGTGCTCCAGTGAGGGTCAGAAGGAGGAATAGGAGGCTGTGCCTCCTTCGTTTGCCCATGTCAGCGTGATGCACACCTGCAAAAAGGTGAAAATGTAGTACAACTGGAACGGTTTCATTTAGCCCTCATTCTAGATGAGGGATCCGCAACCCCCAGTCCGTGGACCAGTACTGGGCCTCAGCATGCCAGCAACCGGTCTGCACAAACAAGGAAAGCCCCATCCGCGGGATGCAGGCAGCACACAAAACCACACCCCCTCCGGTCTGCGGAAAAACCTCTCTCCACGTAACAGGTCCCTGGTGCCCCAAAAGGTTGGGGACCTCTGTTCTAGATCTAGTTTTGGGATTCCTTGTCTGAAGGCTGGAAGGAAGAATTGACTTTAAGTAATCCAGCTGCAATTCAAGGAGGTAATCCATCCACAATACTTGAGTAAAAAGTAGAGCCGTGATGCACTTTTGACCCATGGTTTGGTTTCAGATGACATGCTAAGGCTTATCAAGACTGGATTGTCCAAAGGAGGCAGTGATTTGAAGCCTGGTCTGGATGCAGTATAATTGCAATGATATCTAAACCAAGCTGGACTCATTTCTTCTCCCTGGATTGCTCCTATAGCCTATAACAGACATGTCAAACTCGCAATGTCACGTGACGCCGCACGATGTATCGGAGCTTTTTCCCCATTGCTGGCAATGGAGTGGGCGCGGTTTCCTCATGACGTGTCCGGCTGTTTGACACCCCTGGCCTATAAGTACAGAACATAGAATAACAGTGTTGTAAAGTACCTCGGAGGTCTTTCAATCTAGCCCCCTAATTAAGCAGGAGACCCTATACTATTTCAGACAAGTGGCTGTCCAGTCTCTTCTTAAAAACCTCCAGTGATGGAGCATCCACAACTTCTGGAGGCAACGTCTGTTCCACTGGTTAATTGTTCTCACCATTAGGAAATTTCTCCTTAGTTCTAGTTTGCTTCTCTTCTTGATAAGTTTCCATCCGTTACTTCTTGTTCTGCCTTTGGGTGCTTTGAAGAATAGGTTGACCCCCTCTTCTTTGTGGCAACCCCTCAAATACTGGAACACTGCTATCGTGTCTACCCTAGTCCTTCTTTTCACGAGACTAGACATACCCAATTCCTGCAACTGTTCTTCATACGTTTTGGCCTCCAGTCCCCAAATCACTCTTGTGGCTCTTCTCTGCACTCTTTCCAGTGTCTTAGCAACTTTTAGATGTTGAGACAGTGGAAAGATAACAGATAGGAAAGTTTTGGTTTTGATGTTGATCCGTAATCCAATAATATCTAGGCTGCCTTTGACATTGGCCCCAAATCTGAAGGAAACAGCAATTTCAAGGGTGCATCTACATGCCGACTCAGCATTACAGTGAATATTATTATATTATTATTATTATTTTCTGAGGTTTCCGTGGGTGTTTGTATGTAGGTCTTTGGTTATTTGGGTTTTCTCCCGTGTAAAATTGGAAGTGTCTTGGCGATGTTTTGACGAAGTCCCATTTGTCATCTTCAGGCTGGTGTTTTCGACTTCGTGCTTCTAGGAGCACGAAGCCGAAAACACCAGCCTGAAGATGACGAATATATATACCATCTGATTGCCTGGATAGCCCTTTCCTGGTTCACTCTCAAAAGCTGATTTAAAATGGAAGGATCCTTGGAGTTCTCTGAACTTGGTTGCTTTCTTGCAGACATTTCGTTGCCCAAACTAGATAACACATCAGTGCTCAGTAATGAAACACCTGCAAGAAAACAACCAAGCTCATTTCAACCGTAATATTCTTCTTTATCGGTGATTTAAACCTTCTCTAAGGACTGAGAAAAGAGTTGCTGACAGACACAAACTGAGAATGAATGCAGCTGGGCAGATCCAGATGCCAAAGGTGGAGGAGAGGACGCCCAAAAAATGTTTCTGTGTGAGGTAAAATTTTATTCTGGATCTCTAATGCGCAGGAGAAAGAAAGCTATCCAGGGCTTCAGAGCTGGATAGAAGAGGAAGGACAGATACAAGTTTGAAGCACACTGCCCATCACACACATCTTTGTCTAGAAATTCAGCTTGTCACTTTTGTTTATCTTCAAGGAAAAACAAAGTCCAGTTGCCTTTTGAAAAGGCACTTTTGGGACAACCATGATCTGGATGACTGAGAATCTCCACAGCCATTCAGCTTATCATTCTAACACCTTGATGTTTACAGTCACGGCTCTTTTCACCCTGATTCTCCTGTGCTCTGTTATCTATTTTCACTTCTCACTCATATCCCAAGTCCCAATCCCAACAGCGTAAAAGGAGAAAATAAACCTGCGAGTTGTAGGGACAACGTTTTGAGGTTGATATTTACCACACGCTTATTCAGGGCCTTGCAACATACATCTCCCTTTTAGCAATTCCAGAAAGAAATGAACTACAGTAGCTGGCAAAATGGAAAAGTAATAAAGGAGTCAAGGCTAACAGCGTGCGTTAATTATCACACAACATATCATTTGAGATTTAAGACAAACAGTTTCCAAGATCCAGTTCATTTCATGGAAGGCAAACTAGCCCTTAGGGACGTTGAGAGCCTATTGATCGAACATGGGCAGATATGGGCAAATACACCCTACAAAGTCACTTGATTGTGAGATGGCTGGCTGGGTAAATACTGTATGATTTATAAATATAAAAAAATAAAAAAATATGAGTGATCACGATCATTCTGCCCCTCACAAGCGTTTCCTTTCATTCTTATTCTAGATAAGGCAAGGCCTAAAATAAAATTAAGTTTGAAGAACGAGAGGGAGAGGGAGAGAGAGGGGGAGAAGGAGAAGAGGTGATACACAGACCACCAAAACTCACACCGATTTGAGTCACTTGATCAACCTTTCCTCCGCTTAATTGTTGGGGGCATTTTGGGGAGAACAAGCAACAGGGTGACGTTCAACCAGTTGCCACAAAGACGAATCCCGCTGTCACAACTCATATACTTCAGCTATTCTTGTTGTCTACGAATTAGACATGGCAGCAGCATGTAAACCCCCCCCCCATTCCTTGTCATTTCAGTACTTTTCACTCTGCAAGGCTCTTCCTTTTTTAAAACACACACACACACACACACACAAATGTCCTGGATCTTATCACCCCTGTCTGCCCTGGCCGGTTTCCTCCAGCAAACCCCCATGTCCGAACCCCCCCTCCCACAATCTGAAGAAAAAACCATTTGAGTATCTCTCTCTTACCCTGGAGATGGTCAAAGGCATGTTGAAGTCCTTCCCTCCCTGCAGACGGAAGCCCCACGGACCAGATCCATTGAGAGTGACACTGAAGGACATTTTGTCTCTCCTTCACTGCAGGAAAATGCTGGGCTCTGTGAAACAGAGGGGTGGAATACAGGTGGGTATGCCTTGTTTTGAAAAAAAAAAGGAGTGTTCTTTTTCCCTCCCCTTTTGTGAAAGCACAAAATAACACTCTTTTTCGTCTCTCGCCTGGTCAGTCCAGCCGAAGTGTCATCTAAGAATAGATAGCACTTATAATACGGATACTGATATCCTTGACGAAGGGACCATACATGGCTAGTAACCCAACACCAGCTATGCGAAACCTCCGTGACTCAGAGGTCTAATATAGAGCCCCGGGAGTTTAGCAAACCTTTCTGAGCGCCTCGGTTCCCTTGTTCAGGCTGAATGCCACTTTTCTAAGATAAAAGAGCAGCTTATTTTAAGGGCGAGTTAAAAATAAGAGTTGGAAGGAGCTTTCAGAGTAAGACTCTGGTCTTGTTCATCGCCTGATTCCCTCAGGGTGCACCAGGGAATTCTCCCCAAGTTTTACATATATCAATAGATAAGCTGCCCATTTGACCATTTTATACACACATACACAGTGTATATATACATATATACATACAGTATATCCCATTGACTTGTTTTTGTGCTCTGATGATGTCGGCAGTGCTGGCCGACGAAAGCTCAGCATTTTATTAAACAAATCCTAGTTTGATATTATCCTGGTATTCATATTTATTTGTTTTTACTATATATATGTGTGTGTGTGTGTGTGCGTGTGTGTGTGTGTGTGTGTGTAGGTAGGTAGGTCAGTCTTTGGTTACATACAAACACCCGTGAAAACCTCAGAAAACAAATATAGATAGATAGATAGATAGATAGATAGATAGATAGATATAGATATAGATATAGATAATATTGTTACAATTTTATGCCAATTGGTTTGGTGTAAGTTTTTCTTAAGTTTTTTAAAGAAATAATGAAGAAACGTTGCCAGCTTAAAACATAACTAGCGTGAATTAGTAAATTATATCACTATAGCAATGAGATTATTGATCCTCCTCCTCCTCCTCCTCCTCTTCTTCTGGAAACTAATCAAAGAGAGAAGCAACTTGGAACTAAGCAGAAACTTCCTGACAGTGAGAACAATTAACCAGTGGAACAACCTGCCTCCAGAAGCGGTGAATGCTCCAACACTGGGAAGTTTTTAAGAAGAGACTGGACAGCCATTTGTCCGAAATGGTCTAGGGTTTCCTGCCTGAGCAGGGGGTTGGACTCGATGACCTCCAAGGTCCCTTCCAGCTACTACTACTACTACTACTACTACTACTACTTCTTCTTCTTTCTTTCTTCTTCTTCTTCTTCTTCTTCTTCTTCTTCTTCTTCTTCTTCTTCTTCTTCTTCTTCTTCTTCTTCTTCCTCCTCCCTCTCCTCCTCTCCTCCTCTCCCTCTCCTCCTTCTCCTCTTCTCTTCCTCCCTCTCCTCCTCCTCTCTTCTTCTTCTTCTTCTTCTTCTTCTTCTTCTTCTTCTTCTTCTTCTTCTTCTTCTTCTTCTTCTTCTTCTTCTTCTTCTTCTTCTTCTTCTTCCATGTTTGCAAAGAGGACGAGGAGACACCTAGATTTCTAGATAATCAGAGAAAGCTCCTGTCTTTACAGATTTAAAGCCCTCCACACAAAAAGGGTAGGTGTCTACGGTGATTTCTTTGCTACTGGAAAAAGATGAATACATTTTTTTTCCAAATAACTAGTAAGAATACCTTTTAATTTAACAGAGGTATACATATGCATATTTTTCTCCCCACCTCCTTAACTGTGCCTTAACTGTGCCAACTGAGGTGGAGTGGGTTATATTTAGCCTTAACAGATCCAGTTTTGCAAAGGTTAAACTAATTCCTTTGGTCAACTCTATTGTAAGCATGGATGATGGTTAATACATTAAATGACTCCATAGGGATGGCTCTCTGGTAGTTTTAGCTTTCACACTCAAAAAATTGGAGTGAGGTAATAGTATGAGACTCTTCCCACTGTAAAGAGAGAAGGAAGGAAGGAAGGAAGGAAGGAAGGAAGGAAGGAAGGAAGGAAGGAAGGAATAACCCCACTGAGAAGACTAGAAAGCGCAAAGAAACTCAGCCTCATTCATCCCAAATGAAATTTACTACCACAAGATAGAATTATGGCCATAGACCAGCGGTTCTCAACCTATGGGTCACGACCCCATTTGGGGTCGATCGACCATTTCACGGGGGTCACCAAGCAAGGCTGTCTGCCATTTTTCCCCCTTTTCCGGCGGGTGCCTTACCTCCCTTGGGCTGGGCCAGCTGGTGGCCCAGCCGGTGGTCGCCCTGCACTATCTCTGCCGCTTGCCAGCTACACCTCGGCCGGCACAGGGGACGGCACCACGCATGCGCAGCGCTCCCAGGCAGGGAAAGTCCTCAACTTACGACCGGTTGGGTAGTCCTCGACCTACAACCGGTTGGGGGTCACGGCATTAAAAAGGTTGAGAACCACTGGACTAGAAGACCTCCAAGGTCCGTTCTGACTCTCTTATTCTGTTACTGTTATTATTACTGTTACTGTTATCTATTATGTTATCCTGTTACTGAAACCAATATTTTACCTACTTGTTCCAGCTACTTATTCCAAATACTTTTTTTTTTTACATTCCAGCTAGTTTCCTCCAAAGTGTCACTCTGTTTCTTCTTGTTGTTTCTAAGGAACATAATTTTCCTAAAGGTTTTGAATCCAGACTGTTGAAATGATTTGGTTCTTTTGGCACAGACTAATTAGAATGTCAAAATAAAACAATTTTATGCTGTGTGCGTTGCAAACGGTCTTTTCTTTCCTGCAGAAATTAAACAGATCCAGCAGCAGACCAATGGGAGAAGCACACAATAACTTGGCTGCTTAGTCATGCAAACGACATACTCTCGGAAAATGTACATGAATTCATGAACAGTCATTAAGAATATAAATGTTTGATGGAGCAAAGTTAGAACTTGTCATTTGAGAATTAGAAACTGACTAGATGCAGGAAATAGAAAATGAGAGGGAGCGGTCCAAATGGCAAAAAAATAAAATAAAATTGGCCTGCACATTTTATATTTGTTTTAGTATGCTTTCGGAAACTCACAATGACGTTCAACGCTGAAGCTTTCAAACTTATAATAAAATTACAAGAAATTATTTTTTTTTTGGAAAAGCCACTGGAATCATAGCAAAAAAGAAAGCAAAAATAACAATTAAAAAAGATATTATGAAAGGCAAACATGGGTATACACAGAGATGTATTTAACTGGCAAAGCTTCCTGTGTTTTTGATGGCCCAGGAAACTCCACAACTATGTCCAAAACACAGAACTGATTTTCCAACAGGAAATCTTGGACGATTAAGAACCTGGGTCAGCTGTCCTTATCGTTTGTCTAATTCTGCATTTTCTAAGCCACATTTGTAGATTTATTGCCCACATTTGGTCTTCCACAGCATTCAAAGCTTGAAACAAGACTCCGGATCTCCTCCTTTTGGGTATTTTTGTGGATTTTGATGCTAAAGAAACTATTTTAATGTTGAATTTAATAACAGCAGCAAGATTATTGGTGGGTCAATATTGGAAGAAGGATTCTCTGTCTTCTTTAGAAGAATGGGTATTTAAGGTTTCTAATTTAGCAGAAATGGCTAAAATTTCTGCTTATTTAAAGGACCATTCACAAGAGAGAGATGTTATTGTATGGAGAAGATGGATAGAATATGTTCAGAAGAAATATGGAGCTACAAAGTTTCATTTCTTTTATGAGTAATGGATTTGTTTATAAAATTATGATGTTAAAGTTTGAAGAGAGTTAAGGGTTAGTATGATTTTGGTCGTTGTATAATTAGTAAACTTAAATAGATTATGTTTAATATGTTTGTATAACAGCAGCAAGATTATTGGTGGGTCAATATTGGAAGAAGGATTCTCTGTCTTCTTTAGAAGAATGGGTATTTAAGGTTTCTAATTTAGCAGAAATGGCTAAAATTTCTGCTTATTTAAAGGACCATTCACAAGAGAGAGATGTTATTGTATGGAGAAGATGGATAGAATATGTTCAGAAGAAATATGGAGCTACAAAGTTTCATTTCTTTTATGAGTAATGGATTTGTTTATAAAATTATGATGTTAAAGTTTGAAGAGAGTTAAGGGTTAGTATGATTTTGGTCGTTGTATAATTAGTAAACTTAAATAGATTATGTTTAATATGTTTGTATAACCCTGTACTTAGCTCTGGGAAGGTGGGGGGGAGGGGGGAGGATGGGTTGGAGGTTTAATAGCTCAGATAAGTAGAAATAGTTTTTTTGTATATAATATTGATGTTTTAATTTGGAGAGAGGAATTGCTCGGGCATTTCCCCTGGTCTGCATCCGGAGTGAGAAGATAGGAGGAAGGGGAGAAGTAAGTAGGAAGATTGAGGAGAAGGAGGAGAGGGGGAGAGTGAGGAAGAAGAGTAAAAGAGGGAAGTGAGAGAAGAGGTTACAGGGTGGATGGGGTTTGGGGGGAAGTGGGTGAGCAATACCGAAAGTTGTGTGTATAAATTTATTTTACTCTTTATCCGAAATAATTTTTATGAATGTAATGTAAAATTGAAAATAAAAAATAAAAATAATAATAAAAAAAGACTTTGGGTCTCCTCAAAGCATCCTCCAGTGGTTTTATGAAGACCTTAAAAGAACAGGAATACCTTTCTTTCTCAATTCAATGAGCCAACCCAAAAAGACTGATGCTATTGAGAATTATTAAGAGGTGCATTGGAGGTTCTATGGAGAATAATTCAATTATAAATTCAAAATAATAATAGCACTGCACCACCTGAACACTTGACCCGGCATCGGCAACATCTCCATCAGTCAATTGCAAGAGACAGCTTTACTGAGACGTGGATTACTTTAATAAGCCTTCTTTCAACTGAGATTAAAAACTTGGCATATATCCCATCAGGAAGTGCAATTGCTATCTTATCCAGAACATCCTATCAAATCTAAATGTGTCCAACACAATCAAGTAAAAATTCACCAGGCCCGTTACTTCCAAAAGTATACAGGTAGTCCTTGACGTACGACCCCATTTAAACCCCAAAATTCTGTTGCTAAGTCAGACCATTGTTAAATGGGTTTTGCCCCGCTTTACAACCTGTTTTGCCACATTTCTTAAGTGAATCACTGCAGTTCTTATGCTAGTAACCCAGTTGTTCTGTGAATCTGGCTTTCCCATTGA